CAATGCCGCGCGACTTGGGCAGAAAACTCTCATTGCCATAGTCGCCCAGATTGTTGGGATCCAGCTGGCGCAATGCTGCAAGAAAAAGGCGTCAGGTTAGTTACAAATAAGCAAACAGAAGATACGAAGAAAATAAAATAATACACAATAAAAAGAAGTTGAAACTTGGGCGCACTTGAGTACAATAACTTGCAAATTGGAAAACTAAATATAGATAAAGAATATAAAAGTAGTTGCAAGTACTTTCAATATATCCTTACAATTATAACTAATATTTTCTGCGAGATTTAAATTTAATTATAATAAATATAAAATTAAAAGCATTTTCGATTAGTTGATTTGCGTAAAGCTTATATTTTAGCTGCCAGTCAAATAATAAACAAAGGCTGAGACGTCAAGCGGCTAAAAAATAAATAAATAAATAAAATTAGTTTAAATCAATTAAAAATTAAGCACAGCGAGAAACTCACCTAGTTGTTCAAAACTCAAACTTAAGCGGCTAAAAAATAAATAAATAAATAAAATGGAATTAGTTTAAAGCAATTACAAATTGAGCACAGCGGAAAACTCACCTAGTTTAATAGCTGTGCCAGGCGAACTTCGTTTAATGCATCGATTTAATAAGTAACTAGCCTAGTCTTAGTTTAATTGGCCTCATTTAGCTGGGATGCCCTGGCATCCAACTACGCGTGATTGTGCACGCCGCTGATGGCATATCGCGGCTGGCCATTGGACGTGGTATTTGTGATGATTCTGGCGCGGCATTGCTTGCGCCACTTGCTGCACTTCCAGTAGACCTTGTCCTTGTAGGCGGCATTGCGCAGATAGCGATGCTCGCCGCAGTGCAGCACACAATTGCCGGCGGGCGTTTTCATATAGTGTATATCCTCCATGGTCTTGGCCAGACGCACGCGCTTCACCAGCGCCTGCTGCGAGGACGATTGGATGGTTGGCGCCGAGGCGCGACGCAGCAGCTGAATGTGCACTGCAAAAATACGAAATGCAGATGACGAATTAGACAGGCTTTAAACTATAAATGCGACTCTTGCTTAACAATAGATATACTTAGTTGGCATTGTTTCATGTGTGTGTGTATAATTACTTATGCGCTGCGTAGCAGGCCAGTTTATTTTATTATTTAGTTTCTTAGCAACTAATCCTAATTGGCTACTGCAGTTGCTGCAGATCCTCAATGCTTAGATTAAGCGAGCGCAGCTCGAGCGTCAGATCCTCCTCGGCTTCCGTCTTGACATAGCCGGACAGCGCCGATGACGACGACGATTTGCCCGCCGATCTGTGGCCCGTTTTGATCAGCGGCGTGATAATCGACATACGCTTCTTGCGATCGAAATTGAAACAGGTATGATGGCAGGATTCGAGCACAATCTTGTGCACGCCCTCAATCACGTTCGTGACGACGCGCGCGTTGCACTTGGTGCTGCCCTGTGAAGGTAGAGAAGGGATTGGGTAATTATTAATAGAATATATACACGTTGGAGCCCTGCACGAACCAGTCGAAATGCGTAACTCGAACTTATTCGACTGAGTCGGTTGACACTCGAACAAAAATTTGAGTATTCGGAGTGTTCGAGCTCGAACATGTCGCCGACTCGAACAGTTCAAACCTCGTTTGAATGAGTCTGTCTTTGATAAGTCGGAGTGTTTCGGATGAGTTGAGTACGAACTCGAACATGTCGCAGTTCGAACTTCGTTTGTGTGAGTCTCTCTTTGCTCGAGTCGGTCGGTTTGAGTATGATGCAATTGAATCGAAGCAGGGCTCCAATACACTTCCAGGTCAAATACTCACCTTCTTGGAGCATATCCAGTAGGTTTTGAGGCCGCTGCGTCGATTGCGCACATAGTTGTAGCCGTTGAAGGCCAAGAGCTTGCAGCCGCGTTGACCTCGGACAAAGGAGAGCAGCGAATGCTTGATGGCAGCCCGATTCAGATCCTCCAGTATGTCCAGCGACGCGCAACTATCTGTGTAGAGAGTTGGAACAGCAATTAGTTATATGTACTGGGAATACAATTAATTAGAAGCTAATTAAACTTGACAATTGGTGTAGCCAAAATTTTTAAATGAAATCAATTTTATTTTTTGCTAAATTGTAAACGCTAAAGACTACTGAAAACGTTGACTAGTATGGCGGATGATTGTGCTGGCTGCACTTGACGATCACGTCGTTATCCTCGATGGTAACCACGCGCGCCTTGCACTTGTGGGCGCCAGCGCGTGCACAGGACCAATAGGTCTTGGCCCCGGTGGCCTTATTGCGTGTGAAGGTGAACTCGCCAATCTTCAGCTTGCGACTGCCGCGGAAGCCCGTGATGTAGGAGTAATAGGACATGGCATCTAGAGAGAGCAAACAGAGAGAGAGAGTTAAAACGAATTAGTAAAGTATTTGGAAAATCTTTTAAATATGGATAGATAGAAAGAGGTTTTCACAAAGAGTATAGAAAGCTGCGTGCACGTCTCTAGATTGACTTTTATTTAACACATATATTGAGAGTATGAAGCTGATCCACTAAACATGCTTTGCGTATGTACAATTGGCTTAAGGTTAACATGAAAATCAGGCGCTTGTCTCAGCCTTCGTGTCGTCCTCGTCCTTGCCGGCACGGGCCGCTGCCTCCGCCCGCTGACGCTTGAGCGAACCATATTTGCGCGCCTTCGAGATGACCTCATGGTTGTGCTCGCTGTTCAGTATGGTGAGCGTGTCCAGCTTGGTTTTGAGCCGAGCTCGACAGCGCAGCACGGCAAACTGGCTGCAGCGCCAGTAGGTGACATCCTCGCGTGTGATGTGCCGATTGAAGGTGTGCTGCTTCAGCATGATCTGCTTGGTGCCATATTTGCTGACAATGAAAAAGGGCGAACTGTTGTCGCCGACGGCGGCCGCCGCGCTGCGTCGCTGCTGACAGTCCGGCGCCGGATCCGGATCGCCCACGTCCACGTCCACGCTGATCTGATAGTCGAACTTGACTGCAATTAGAAAAGAGAGAGAGAGAATGTGCGTGTGTGTTTGAAACGGATTCGGAACATGTGTAACTAGCAGCTGCTGCCTGATCATAAATAAAAGACAAGGCTTCAAGTTTCGATTGTTGCTTTTCATTTAAGTTAACTCAAATCAGTTACAGGAGCTTACACTAAGGCTATGGCTATTGGCTATAATTCACATCCCGCAGCTAGACGCAGTGCGCCGCATGCCCATTGTACTTGGTCAGCCGCGGCCGGCGGCTCAGCTCGACGTGCACATAGTGCGCCCCGCAGTTCGGCGTCTGGCAGTGGTAATATGTGCGATACTGCATGGCCCGGGTTTTCTTATAGCTGCGCCCATCGATCAGCAGGAACTCGCCCCGGGTTGTGCGCTGGAACTTGACAGATGCGGCTGCTGCTAGTTGGGATCGAGATGATAAATACAAATTATGTGGTTGGATGATGAGGAGAAATGCTTTGATGCGATAGATACTAGGATGAGCATTAAATTAAACTGGGCGCACAGTGAAAGCTCGCTAAGGTGGACCACATATTAATCATATAGCAGCAGCTCTTAAGCTTTTTACAAATTGTCATTGCATATTTTCAATATTTTTAAATATTTAAAAAACTATTTTCTTATAAAATGTATATTGGAGATTGTCGCTTAAAAATTATGTACATATCACACACTGTCGACTATTTCAAGATTTATACTGTCTTTTTTTTTTCAGTGTATTTCTGAATATTTTTTGAGCTGTCCGTTCGTCGAGCTTTCACTGTACACTGCTACGCGCACACAACTAAATAGACTACAAGACGAGAGATTTGTTGTTGTTGTTGGTTGTTTTGGCTTTTTAATAGTGCTGCAATAACATTTCCTTGGTCATGAGCTTGGCGGGCAGCGTGTTGCCCGTGAATCGGGGCGGATGATTGTGCGAATTCTTGCCAAGCTTAATGCCGCCCTCGAACTTGGTGATGGCACGTGCCGAGCACTTGTTCTCGTTAATCCGCTTGCCGTTGCCGTCGGAGCAGATCCAGTTGATGGTCGCCCGAAAGCTGGCCTCCTTCTTGTACATGTAGCCATTGAAGATCAGATTGTAGCCCTGCTTCTGGTTGCGTATAAAGAAATAATCGTATTTGTTTATCCAAACGCTGGTCGGCAGCTCCGCTATAAACTGACCGTTCTGGGCGATGGCTATGCCTGCAATTGTATAGAAAAATGGGTAATATTTGTGGCTCCTGCTTGCTGGCGTCCTTAATAAATCACTTAGTTTACAGAAGAAAAATACACGAACATTTGGAGCAGCAAATATTTTATTCAAGGTATACACACATATACATACATACATATATATGCCATATACTAAAGGAGTTTACATTGTATAGCGTATCATCTATGGGTTTTGTTTAAGTTGCAACACTTACCATTGCCGTCGCTCAAGAAAATTGTTTGTTTAATTCAAATTTACTGCCATTGATGGCAAAAATAAACTCAATCTTTTTTGCTCAAGTCTCACAAAACACAAACAACGCAAAAGATACAAAGCGTGCTGCAGCCACTTGGCGTCGTTCTGGTAACATTTGATCACATTTTATACACGCAGCACATACAGCACATTTGCACAATGGTATTTCACTTCTTTGGCACATTTTAAACAACAATTATTGTAGCAGGTTTCAATAAATTTATTAACAAGCAAAACCAAGCGTAGTTAAACGCGGCGAAAAATCACTAGAATACGGCGAAATAATAACAAGATGGCTGACTTGTGCTCTTTCAGATATGGCAAGGCTGCATCCACACATTATCATAGTTGCCACTCGAAAAATCTAATATGTACCAAAAAGAAAATCAATTTCGAAATTTTGCAAATTTTTAAGGTGTTTCAAATGATAAGAAGCTTTCAAATGTCGCCTTATTAAAGGTACCATGTTCATTTTTATATAACGGATATATGTTAATATATACAATAGGTTGGCCCGTCGAATACATATGGTACCATTGTTGGTACATTTTTACAACATGTGTGGCAACTGTGCCCTCAATTGCTGGCAGGTGGCAACATTTCACCCGCAAGTACAGTGCTTCTTCTTAGCTTGTGATTTACATTTGCAGCGCATTATATTTTATTTTTATTTAATTTATTATTTAATAAATGCCCACCAACTTGGCACGAACCTTAGACTTGTGTTTTATTTAGTTTCCGTTAAGCTGCTTACATGCTGAGCCCCGTTTTAACCACTTTCTACCGCACTTCAATTTAACTACAGCTCCAGCCACATCAACATTGCCCGCACCGCAGGTAATTCCACCACGTAAACGCGGCCGACCCAGAACAAAGGTGGACGATGCGCAGCCAAAACTCAAATTGCTCGACAAGCTGAAGGCGGCCACAGAAAACGAGGTCGCCAGCAGGCCAGCCGTGTATGCCTCCACTACCAAAGGTAAGTCATCTGCTCTGGCACTTGTTGCTTCCCCGATGATATTAATGAAAGATTTGCCCTACTTTGCAGGTGGCGTGAAACTCGTCTACGAGGGGCACTTGTTCAAGTTCTCGTTCCGTAAAGCTGAATTCTCGGTGTTCCAATGCTGCTTCAGGGAGCATGGCGAGGAGTGCAAAGTGCGCGTGGTGTGCGACCAAAAGAACGTCTTTCCCTTCGATGGAGAACATGTGCATTTCATGCAGGCCAGCGACAAGAGCGTCACCTCCTCGCAATTTATGCCGGGCGAGAGCGCTGTCAGCGTGGAGCCCAAGCCAGAACCAAAAGTCGAGATTGTCTTACAAAAGAGCGTAGCGAAAGCGGATGCCGAGGATGAGGAGGAGGAGGACGGCGAAGTATTCGAAATACATGAAATTGAAGAAGCTGACGCTAACGAATCCACGGGCACAGAAACCGCTGCTGGAGAAGAGGAAAATTCCAATATAAAACCCACAGGCGAAGAAATCGATCCAAATGATTTTCGCGAGAAGATCAAGCGGCGCCTGCAGAAGGCGCTGCAAAACAAGAAAAAATAACTAAAAGCTGAGAAGTCTGACGGCGCCAGTGTTGCCAATCCAGCTATTTTCCAGCTAAAATATAGCTATTTACGGCAGTTTAAGCCTTTAACTGATTTATGCAATACTTTTACCATCTCATCATTTGGCAACACTGGTCGGCACCGCAGTGCCTACACGCAACTACACATACATACGATTTACATACATTTTACTATACACTATATACTTAAAATAATCACGACAACGTTTCAAGGCAATTTGCAAGCTACACTTAATTCTTTTAAACAACAATTTTTTGTAACAAACATTGAGGACAATAAAGCCGCGATTCCATATTAAATAGCTAGCACGTAAGCGCCACACTCTAAAAATCTGTTAAAAATCAAGCATATATATTTGTTGATATGCACAATATTCGAACAAATCGTAGAATTAATTCACTGTTCTCCATCTAACTCCTTGCAGTTACCCAGCATGTGCACAACTGTGGCCCGCAGACGTTCCTGATCAGCCGCAAGGGCGGCACCTTGCTGACCATCAACAATTTCGTTTATCGCTCCAATCTCAAGTTCTACGGCAAGAGCAACGATATCTTGTACTGGGAATGTGTCCAGAATCGTTCGATGAAGTGTCGCAGCCGCCTGAAGACCATCGGCGATGATCTCTACGTAACAAACGGTTTGTCCTCAAACTCACTTAATAAACAACATTTTGACATGCTCCTGTTTTTTTTTAGATGTGCACAACCATATGGGCGACACGAAGCGCATTGAGGCAGCCAAAGCCTCGGGCATGCTCATACACAAGAAGCTGAGCTCTCTGACCGCCGCGGATCGCATACATGGCTGGAATCGCGCCGACAGCGGCATCGATCAAATGGTTAAGTCCGAAACTGCGTAGAAAGGTCTTTGAGAAACCAGAAATCGAATAGTACCAAAATGGAGTACAATTTTGAAATGAGCCTGAGACCCAGTAGGTTATCTAAGTTCTTAAGTAGGCTTAACCAAAAAAGTCAATTCTTATTGAAAATATTTAAAGTATCGTTGAAAGATCTGAGCAGCTAACTTAGTTAAATGAATGCTTGTAGAAACGGCCTTAGAGCCCGCAAAACGTTAACTACTGTAGTTATTATCATTATAAACATTTATGTATAAATTGAAAAAGACATATTTTAAGTGTAGACAAAAGTGTATCGATATAAAGATCGATATAAAAAGTATTTGCAGGCTATAATTAATTTCTTTAAGTAATACTGAAAGACGTCTTTATATATTTTTGAACAGTATCAGCAGACGAGTAGATATATGCCCAAATCTGTCTCTACGCCCATTAAAAGCGGCTAGAATGGGTATTTTTGTTTTGTGGAAATGTTTGTAATGGGCAGAAGGAGACTTCACCGACTCTATAAGCTCTATATATGCCTAATCAGCATCTGTCCGTTTGTATGAGCGCTTCGGTCTCAGAGATCTAGAGAATTTTGAGTATGCCCCAATCTCCATAAAGTTCCAATATCTCGTCTAGATTATGCATCTACCATAGGAAAACACAATTATTGAGTTCTTTTCTGTTTCGTAAGATATTTTAAATAAATTTGGCAAAACAAAGATACATCGAGCTCCCAAATATGAGCGAAATTCCATTAACATTTGGCCTACTATAACTTATAGCTTCTGCAGTAAATCAGCTAGGTTATTTATCCTAGATATTCGTTTTATTCTTGCTTAACAAACTTGTTTGCCAGCTTTTTCTTAAAATACAATGTCGTGGCAGTAACATTTCGATGCACATGCGAGGCGCACGAGAAACGATACTTGATCTCTGAGCCCCACGCAAAGGTGAACACGCGCGCCTTGCAGCCCTTCGAGTGCTGCGAGCAGCGCCACGTTCCGATTTTGCCAACACCGCGATGGGCTATGAATTGATTTTGGCCAATGATCAGCTTGGGCCGATTGCGGGCCGTCAACACGAAGACAGCGGTGCCATCGTAGGCCCTGTACTTCTGCTTACGGCCACGAGTTGTAACTGCAAGAAAACGAAAGAGATTTTAAGAAAGTTAACAGACGTTTCTTCAGATCTTAAACTAAAATGATTGCAAGTTAACAAAAAGGAGAGTTTAGAATTATTTTAAGATTTTTTTTTATATGTTTGAAACATGTTTATTTTAATGCTAGAAATGAAGCTTGTAGCTTGTGTTAAATGGAAATTTCTACATTTTTTTTGGGCTAACGCAGAACCCTTTTTTTGTCGACATCAGATCCGGCTGCATAGAAGAACTTCTGGATCTACCAGATGGGTAACTTAAGCTGAGATGTCATTTAAAAAAGAAACTCAAACGTTTTCGTTTCGTTTAGTTAGAACATGTTTTCGTTTTGCGCTCTTGGACTTTGATTTCCCGTGCCCAGATCCGTTCTCCGAAATGCCTTGCTTCGGCTTGGTCTTGCCGGCATCAGGTCCGTGATTATGCTCGGCGCGCAGAAATTGGTATTTAACTTGTGAGTCAACCAGAAAGGTGCTCACCCGCGATCTGCAACCCCTTGCCACCTGCCTGCAGCGCCAAGCGCCGATTTTATCACAGCCACGATGCAAATTGTACTCGTTCCCGTCAATTGCCAGCTTGGGTCTCAGATGGGTGGTCATGTTGAAGACGGCGTCGCCATCGATGCGAGCCGCTTTCTTCTTACGCACACGACTTTTTTTCTGAACTGAAAATAAACGGAAAAGAAATCTTTATGAAAATTAAGTGAAGATTGCAATTCGCGGCAGATGAGCTGTCAGTTTTTGTCAGTTCAAACTGCAGACTGGAGAAGAAAGAAGATTAGATTGCATAAATAATTAAAATAAGCTAGGTAAAGATTGCGACAACAAAAGCTGCTAAAAATGAAATTTTTAGATTTAGGCTTTTTATAGACTTTATTAAACACAAGATTGTTCAACTTGCTCCTCAGTTCTAGTGTAGAGTAAAAGTACAAGCGACTGGCTTTAAGTATAAGTCTAGTCGAACGTGATCGACTTGGAGATACCCTTACAAAAATTCTAGCCCCTTGCTGAGCCCTTAACACAGCGCCTTTGCTGCTTCTCCGCTTAAGAATAGGAAAGAATGCGGGATTAACTTCCGTGTTTTAAGTCCTTATAAACCTTATAAACAAATTTAGGGCTTAAATATGGAACACAAACATCTATATATACCAAATCACACAGCTTTAGCTTCAAAAAAGAGTTTCCATTTAGGAGGAAATGGAATTTTCATAATTTATATATAATACGAAAACCTAGCGCTCATAATTTTGAACCATGCCTCACAATCTTTTTTATTTAATTCTTTTTAACAACATTAGAGGAAGGTCTCCTGTTCCATGCAAAACCCTTAAGATTCGTTTTCATATGGTTTTTGGGGGGGTATAAAAAACTTACGACGCCAGCTTTGTTTTTTGTATTACAAATTTATAATGTACACATAATTTTCGTTAATTGACAATTGATACAAAATATATACCAAAGACCTGTACGAAGTTGCACTTAGGATAGGTACTCTGTCTGTCTTCCAAGGCCTACACCTGGTCTAGTAATCCTTGCTGATGTACACAGCACCATGGCCGGGACCTAAGCTCTGTAGCTGAGGCATCGCTGTGCTCCTCTGATGCTGCTGCATCAGTGCCATCATTTGCGGTGCCTGCACAGTGACCGGCATGGACAGCGGCATGGCCAGGGGCATGGACACCGCCAGGTGGCCCGTGGCCGTCGCATACGCTGTGGGCAGCTGTGCAGCCATGCTCGGCGGCGGCTGCTGCTCGATGGCACTTGGGGTGATTGGAATCGCGGGTTTGCTGCTATTCAAGCTGGCGCTCGTGCTGACATTGCTTTTGGCTTGGCAGTAGAGCTGACAGAGCGGCAATAGCTCCTTGTGGCGACGCTTGATGTGGCTTAGGAAATTGCCGGTGGATTTGGTGGTGCCCGAGATGAGGCCAAAGCAGCTGGTGCAGGTAGCTTGTATGGCGCCGGGCGTCTTCTGGTTGGGTTGTATATTCTTATAGAACTTACCATCGAGAATTTTTGGCAGCGTAAACGGTTTCCGTATGGACATGGAGTCCTCGTCACTGAGGCAAGCGACAGTAAAGGCGGCTATCGCAGCATCCGTTTCCGACGGAATCGGCGTCGTGTTTGCCGAGTGCTCCGAACTAAACTCCAGCTTGACGTCAACTGCAAGAGGCGCAAGGATTAGTTAATTAGTTGCGAAATATTTGCATGCTGGGCTTATTTGTGTAGCAGAGAAACGAGAACATGAAGACATTCATGTGTTATTCAATTTATTGCAGCGACATCTTATGCATTAAACAAATATTACGGGGAAAATAGTTTATTGAAGCTCCGAGAGCTCGTCGAGGATCTCGACAGTAAACTCCGGCGAGCTGCATTCATCGGCCTTCACCTCGGGCCCATGGGTGTGCGGCGAGCCGGCGATGCGAAGCGTCACGTCGTTCACCTTGGACGTGACCAGGGTAGCGCGACAGCAGTGCTTCACATAGCGCGAGCATCGCCAGAAAACGTTCTTCAGGCTCTGGCGATTCACCACATATCGATAGCCGTTGTAGATGAGCATGATGCGACCACGTTGCGTTGTCGTATACTGAATGTTGGTGCTGGTGTTCTTGTCCTCGAAGAGCGCCCGGATGGACTGCATGACACCTACAAATAGCAAAGAATATCAATATATTAGGGCGTTACAATAACAGAGAGATACACGTATAAATGGCAAGTCTTATATGCTACACATCACAAGGGCGGGGCGGGGGTATTAACAAATTGTTCTACAACATTTTATTTCAGTTATCAACACTCAACATACAATGCGGCATTTGTATATTATATAATTACTAACTAACTAATGCCGCCGGCCAGATTGGCTTTGATGGTGGCCAGCTTGTGATCTATGAACTCCTGGACTGTGGCTTCCTTCAGCTTGTCGCCGCGCCGGGCAAACACCTGGCATACATGAGCTGCGGCAGAGAATCATTTAGTTTAACATATAACAGATAGAATATTGTCGGTAATATACTTATAATTGCCTGGAACAGGTCCTTTTGCGGTTGCAGCTCGCCCCTCGCAATGCGTTTCAGCTGCTCCTTGCCAATCACCAGATCAGTCACGCGCGATGTGTATATTGGCGGAATGGGCACATAAACCTTGGCTAAGTCTTCTTTCGAGACGAACACTTTGCTGCCCGCAAATAGCGGTATTCGCGCATCCTTGGTTGACTTTGTGGTTATTTCCGCTTCCTTTTGGCTCTTTCCGGTTGGCGTTTGCTTTGGTTGCACTGCAAATGCACACAATTATTTAATAACAATAATGTTGGCAATGAATTTAAAAATAATAAATTAAATAACAAAAAAAAAACACATTTAATGCTTGCTGTATTATTTTATTTTACATATATATATAAAGTTTTAAAATGAGATCCTACATTTGCGAAGCGAACGCGGCGAATGCTTTGAGCATTTTTTTCGTTAACAAGGCACATTTCACAATTAACACTTGAAATCGTCAGTACACAAATTAAGCGTTTTAATTTGAAATCACTTTCAATGCCATTTGACAATTGTTAATATCTTGAGAAACTAGAAAATGCACGTCTTTTGGAAGAGACACACTAACACACACATAAAAAATGCTAACTCAGCGTTGCTTTGTACATCAAGCGTGTGGCAACGCCAAACATCTGGCAACGCCAGAAGTCGCCGGAGTTGAGAAAACAAAATTTCTGCAAATGCTGTAAGAAATTCCTAAATATTTAGTTAAACCGAATAAAATGTGAATAGCGTACAGTAAATACCTTGCTGTGGCCTCCATAATGCAAGCGAGAGTGTAATTGTGGCAAAGAAGCTGTTGCTGATGTGAGCATAATTATATATTGATATGTGTACTAATGTATATTGTGTTTGTGTTTGTAAAATAAAAGAAAAAGTTTGTGTACAAATTATGGCATCAAAGCTGTGAAATGATCTACAGTCGTAAAGTAAATCGAAACCCCAAAAGTGTACATTCAATCAATTTACAGCCGACTTAAATCTGTCACTGACATCAACATAATCTGCAATTTGCGAGGAGCTTGTCAAGTCAACCCTTGATATGTGCCAGATGCCAATGCGTTTATGGTTAAATTTTCTCTTAATTATACTTTCCCGCACACCTTTACACACTAATTCGCGCGCAAATTAATCAGACAACAATGCAACATGTCGTCTCCCGCCCCGCATCTGTGTCTGCCAAATGCAGCTTCCATTATAATGAACGACATAATTATCTGTCTGGCAATTAAAACGTTTGCTGCACGGTGCTAATCAAATTCCAGAGCATTTTAAGAGTGTGTGAATCTCTTTTCTGTGTCCTATGTGAATATTTATAGTCTACTTATACAAAAATTAAATATTATTTATAACAATAATAAGTAGAGTTGGGCCCGTGTCGCGCTTTGCTTTCGTGTGGTGCCGATTCAGCTGTTTTCTGGCTACTTGTAGCGATTTTTAGAGATTGTCAGCCAAAAACAGTTAGAACTTTGTACATATTCAGCTATTTGTTACTGTCAATAATAGGTACTAGCTGTTTATGGCCAATTTGTAGCTAGAAAGCTAGTTCAGGCAGTTGTTCGTGTTAAAATAAAGAAAGTCGTACAGCAATACGACTTAAAACAGAAATTTCAGTAATTTTTTAATCCAAGCTTGTGAAAATGTGTAAAAAAAAGAAGTGCGCCTTCCAATTGTAATTATTTAATATTTATCATAATCTCGCTTTATTTATAAATTCTTTAAACCCGGCTACAACAATATAGACACACGGTAAGACAACAACGATTTAATAAACATATTTAAAAAATTATCTATAAAAGTATTTTAACAACAAATCAAACGCTTTGTGGGCTAAATTTCTTTATAAAAAATCTTTAATTTTAAGATTATTAATATAAGATTCTGAGCTTGTAAGACGAATACAATATGGAAATAATAAAAAGAATTTATATTTAAATTGAATTTAGTTTGTCTAGTCTGAATTTGAATTAATTTGAAAGAGTAGAATACTTTATAGCTTAGCAACTCGTCTAATCAAGCCGTAAACCTTTTGGTTTTCCAGATACCCTTCTGTCAGACTATAAAATACAGTTGCCATCGTTGAAACGGAAATCGGGTAAAAAGGAGAGCTTCGATCATTTGGATGTTTGTTTTACGCGCAGCAATCGCGGCAACAATTTGCTGACCATCAATGGGAAACCCTTCACCCTGAACCGGCGCATCAAGGATGCCTGCTACTGGGAGTGCGTCAAGCTGCGCTGCAAGTATATCAAGTGCACGGCACGCGTGGTGACCAAGTCGAATCAGATCTCAGCGCTGCGGGGCCAGCACAATCATCCCTAAAGAGCGTGTGTCCAAAACAAAGAAAAGCCCCGTTGAATCGAATAAATATGATTTGCGTTTAACTTAAACAAATATGTAGCTCATGTTCTTTTGCAATACCCACCAATTATCCGACAGTGGAAACTAATCTTTGTTTGTGCTTCTTGCAGATGAACTTCGGGTGCAGCGCAGCTATCGTCTGGTGGCCAATCGACGCGGCGGTCAGAATCTCGTGTACAATGGGCACATGTACACCGTCGAGCGCAAATATCTGACGACCATCAACTGGGTGTGCACCAAGAATAGCAACGTGAAGATTCGCTGCCCGGCACGCTGCGTAACAACAGCCGGCAGCAGCCGCAACAGCATCAAGCTGAGCCATCGCAAGCACAATCATGCCAGCAATATGTTCAAAATGCACAAGCCTCGGCCAGTGTTGCCAGCTGAATCCAAAGTTAAAAATAGCTGCAGTTAGCTATAAATTGTCAACAGGATTGCTGGTAATTGACATTGAGCTGCCAAAAACTAAATTAGTTCTAAGATTTCAACTGTTTTCGGCGAAAGTTGAATGTTGCCATATTTAGCTAGAAAATAGCCCATTAGGCAACACTGAATGCAAGGCGAAAGACGATTCCCTTTGGTGTCTGGCTGATTCGCTGAATTGGCAACACTGGCACCGAGCCGTAGCCAACTAGTCCCTAATAAACTTAAGCCTGTACACAACACCATAACTATGCTATATTTTATTTTTTGTCATCATCTGAAGCTAGTCTGTTACTAACACACACGCATACCGCACGCTTTTGCTTCACTAAACCTTTAAAAACATTTGTTTATTTTGTGCTCTGCCTGCAGCCTCCTCCTCGCCACGACGCCGACGCATCACCTACAGACGCCGCGCCGGCTGCCTGCTCATCGACGGCTTTCGGTTTGTGATCAGCTATCAGCAGCGGAAGCGCTGCTATCTGAAGTGTTCCAATTTTCGGAGCCAGTGCCGGGCGCGTGCCATACAGAACAAGGAGACCGGCCAGGTGCAGCTGCGCAATGGAGTTCACAATCACATTCGTGGGCAGAAAATGGCCGCACACAAAGCTACAAATTGAGCAAGTACACCACGCACACACACACACAAACAGACACACGCACATACACACACTCCATGTATAATAAACCGTATTTCGTATGCAAATTAAATCGCCTGCTTTTCACTAATAATTAAAATACATATAACTCTCATCACTTTGCTACGCATTAACCCAATACAGACAGTAAGTTCTTTAATTATTTGCCTTCTTTGCTGCTTTTAGCTAATGTGGCGCAATATGTGCGCTCCAATCGCGGCACGGACCTGGTCTACTATGAGGGCAACACGTACACGCCCAACGAGAAGCTGCGCGAGGGTCAAAAGTCGCGCGACTGGAAGTGCTCCATGTACCACAAGGCCAAGTGTCGGGCCCGCCTGGTGACGCGCATCACCAGCCATGGGGATCTGATACACGTGACCAGCTACAGGCACACGCATCCGGTCATGTTTATGCTGCAACCGCAGCAGCAGCAGCAGCAGGAGAGCCTGGACGTGGATAAGCTCTGTCTGGCGCGCAATCCGCTGTGCATGGGGATACGCCCGGTCAAACTAAGCTAAGGCTCTTGAGTGCAAATAAAACTTAACTTATGTGCATCTTTTAATTTTTGATTTATTTTTGCCAGGCGCTGCTGCTAAACCCTGTTCATCACACTAATATATTTTCCCTTTCTCCATTTTCCAGCTGCTCTGGGCGACTATCTGCCCGTGGATGCGGTGGTCAATGCGCAGGGCCAGTGCGTGCTGGACAAGTGCCCCAAGCTGCGCTTCATCCAGGGCCAACGGAAGTCGCTGCAGCTGGTCTATGACAAATATGCCTATGCCAAGAACAATGAGCACGGCGCCACCACCTACTGGAACTGTCGCATACGACGCACTGGATTGCCGGCGTGCAATGCCCGTCTCTCCACCACCAAGCTACCCATGGGCAGCTACAAAGTGTGCCTGACACGTCCGCAGCACAATCACCCGCCCTCCAGGCGCATTGCTCGCATGCTGGAGAGCCACAAGCCATACGTCCGGTAGCTCAGGATTTGAGCCCGCAGCCTCCCAGCAATTAGCCGGGTTTAGACTTTAAGCTGAAAACAAAAAATATATGTAAGCCCTGAATGGCGAAACGACTTGAAAACGACTCTGATTAATTCTGATTAACTAATAATTGTTATTTTTAATATGTATTCAAACTAAACTAATTTCGATTTTCGTTTATTTATGCATATAGAAAGCAGCATTGCTATCTACTCGGCAACGTCGCGCGGCCGCATGCAGCTCATCTATGGCGGGCAGCCGTTTATCTTCGAGAAGACCCTGAAGCTGTCGACGGGCGAGGAGAAGCGCTATTGGCGCTGCAATCAATGGTGGAATCAAAAGTGCCGCTCTCGCGTTTTCACAATCAACGACATTGTCTGCCCGCTGAATCGCTTTCACACGCACGAGGAGATTGTGCGGCGCAAGAAGCGTGTGCGGCGCGTCCCAGTGCCGGATGCCAATGCGAATGCCAAAGCCTATGCCACAACAACAGCCAGGCAGGAGCAGCAGGCACAGACGCAGCAGGCACAGCAGGATCAACAGCAGCAGCAGCACCTCCATCATCACCAGCAGCAGCAGCAGCACCACCATCAGCAGCAGCTGGCTAGCGATGCCATGCTGACCACCACGTTGGCGGACGAGGCCACAGCCACCATCGATGTGAATGAGCTGGGCATGCATTTAAAATATGAGGAGATTGTCGCCGATGTAACTGGCATTGTGGGCGGCACCCACACCCATGCCCGTGTGCTGGGCCGCAAGAAGTGAGGGAGGCAGCGGTAGCAGCAGCGGCAGGGTATACGTAGTTCGTAGTGTTTCAATTGTCTATAATTAATACATTCATGCTTCTACAGGGCATACACACACACACACACATTATTCAAGTAAACGCAATTTTAATAAACTTAACTAAGGCTTCAAACAGCACACAAGCGCTTCGATTTAATGTACACACAATTTTCACTTTTGGAGCACGCACTAACCGAATACCACACACACTCTCTCTCTCTCTCTCCTTTGCAGAACCGATCTTCTACTTCACCAAGGGACAACGGAAATCAATCAAATTGAACTTTGGCGGCCACAGCTATGTCAAGTTTATGGAGAACAGCCGCGGCACCAAGTGGATCTGCGCCACACGCTCGACGACCAAATGCCGCGCCCGCGTCCGCACCAAGGACAATGCGCTCGAGGTGCTCCACGAAGCGCACAATCATCAAATGTGCAAGCGACAGCGCGAACGTGCCAAGTCGCGACGCGCACTCAGTTAATATATTACGATCTTAACTCGAATCGCATCGCATCCGCGTGAAAACATTTTTTTTTTATACCCCAAAAAAGGGTTTTCATATAAATTAAGATACATGTATATAGTTTCACACTCAGTCGGGTCAGGTCTGACCTTAGATCATGCTATGCTTCCAGAGGATGTTATAAATTGTATAAAACTTTTATAAATCTGGAAGAAGCCGACGAGCACATAGAGTATATAAAGTCTTCAGCCATGCCCGAAAGTCTCTCTTGCCAAGTTTCGGGTACGAACAGATTCTATTATTATATATATATATATATATTGGTACAGGAACTATCGCTCGCATATTAAGTTTGTTTTAAAGATATCTTTAGCAACCTAGGCAACAATAAGCCCGGCTCCAGAATCTCATAATCCTAGGACCAATCTAGCATACACATATAAACAACGACTTATATAAATGTTAAGTTCTGGACACGTTACAAGGATTTGGAAATAAAATATAGATATATATTTCTCGACTCTTAAACGCTGACAAAATAAATTGGAACAGTGTCCGATAAGTATACCTTTATATTTGCAGTTGCATATGCTTGGGATCTGGGCTAATGCAGCTCCTCGAAGCAGGGCTCGCACATCCAATTGCTGCCGGGACAGGTATCGCAGCAGGTGGTGAGACGCTCCAGATTGGTTTTGCCCTTCTTCAGGCAGGTCACACACTTGCCCTTCATCCGTGGCACGCCGACAAACACAAAGTTATGCTGATTGCTCGAGGTGCGCAATATGTTCTCCGGATTGCTTAGATTTAGCCTGGCGCGCACCGGTTCCATCTGGGATACAGCGACAACTGCGTCCACATTGAGGTTAAGTGTTGTCGGCGTAAATGTGCGCCGCTTGACAACTGCATCTGCGGACAACTGTTTGATGCTTGTCCTGGGCACTGGCACACGCTGCGGATCGCGACGTAAAATCAAGGGGCTGCTCACATTCGCGGTGCGTGTTCTATGACTGTACGTGTAAGCTGGAAGAGAGCAGAGGTTAATGTAGGATACTATTGGAATTAAATTTGATTGGATATAGTTAATCTAAGCTTTAAGCATTACTAGACTTTATCTTCGTTAGGGTTCGAGCCAGCAACCTTCTCGTTCAGTTTTCACTTAGGAGGAGAGCTGCACATAAGATTTTAATTAAAACTTAAGCATCTAGAGAAAGGCGAGAGGTAGTTTTTTTTTCGTTTAACCAAGCCGAATCTTTATTTAAAGCGAATATGTTGAATGAGCGCAGCCTTGGGTAAGCTTTTCCAGCTGAGTAGACAAAAGTTTTCTCTGTAATCTTAATGGAACAGTTCAATCCATATTAAAGGTCCTTTTTAGCCCGTGCTCCGCTGCAAGAGAAGTAAAAAAGCGTGTTAAAAGTGTTTTGCACAAGGAAAAGCCTTAAAACCAATTACAATCAATCACAAAATTATGTGTCATTCGTTGAACTATAAACTCTGGGCACGAATGTTTTCATCGGCTTCGGTGCAGCATGATTGTGGCATCCGCGTTGAGCGACAATTGCCTTCCGCTCGGTGGTCAGCGCTGCTCGGCAGCCGAGCTTCTTGTACTGGGTGCAGCGCCAAAAGGCGCCACAGCGTGGCACATTCCGCGAGTGGCAGCTGAACGAGAAGCCCTGATGCACCAGCTGGCCGCGATAGTTGTAGCTGAGCACTATAAAGATGCATAAAATGGTGAGTATTTTTCGTTAATATATAGCTTATTGAAGAACTTACAACTGACAGAGATGAGATACAGATAGATTTCACAACTTGTTAGCTTAGTTTTGGCCTTTATTCGGACTTATGTGCTTAGTAACTAAATTGCACTGTCAACATGGAAACTAGAGCCCTGCATCGGCTGATTGGCTATTCGAGTCGGGTGAAAATAAAATTAACCGATGCAGGGCTCTAATATAAACTTAATGTGCCACGTTCTAGTCGTGTATGAGCATCAGGGAGGCGTGCACCAGTTCGTGCTCGGTTAGCTGCAGCGTGGCCGCATCAGTTGCCAGCAGATGATGCGACTGCGGCTGCTCTTGCTGCTGTTCCGTTTGCAGCAACAGCTCCTGCTCCTGTTCCTCCACCGCCTCCGCCTCCTCCACCTTGGGCTGCTCCGGCTGGTAGTGGCTAATATGGTGCAGACGCTTGAGCTTCTTGTGCGCCGTGCTCACCCCGGCCAGACGATTGCGCTGTATGATCTTCTCGATCTTTTCGGTATGCGGCGCATGATTGTGCAGTCCACCCGTAATGCTCTTCAGCTTGCAGTTCTCGAGTACGCAGCGGGAACGGCAGCGCTGCTCGTGCACCTTCTTCGAGTAGTTGTGACAGCGCCAATATTCCTTGTTGTTCTTTCTGCTGTGACAGTTGTACATGTAGCCATTGAGCACCAGGCAGGGCGTCGACCAGGGGCTCTCGATGAACAGCAGCTGGCTGTCGGCTGTGAAAGAGAAATGCAGCTGAATTAGTGAGGAGTTAGCTTTCAGTTTTTTACAGGGTATGTGGCTTATATGATAACAGTAATAGTAACTAGTTGTCTGCTTGTTTTTGGCTTTATTGAATAGGGTTAGACATGGGTACAAGTACGTGGTAAAATGTTTGGATTTGTTGTAACTTTCGTTTTGATTAGCCTCTAATGCAGCTTGAGCTTGTGCGACAGACGCTGTATGGGCTTCAGCTCGACAACGCGCTCCATGAGATCCTCCTCGTCGGCGGCATCGACCAGTGCCTGCATCTCAATTTCCGTAGCCTCCGAGGCGGGCACATATAGTTTGCACTCCTTGCCATCCTTTGCGGTCATGATGCTGATGTTGCTGCTGCTCAGGTATTGCGAGATCTTTGGATTCGATGTGCATATCTCGATATACTCATCCAGCTCCTCCTCCACATTGTACAACTGGCGTTGTCCAATCCGGCTGGCATGCGACTCATGATTATGCTGGCGACGGGCGTCGAGAAACTCGCCGTTCTTGGTAATAACGACCGCCTTGCAGCGCAGCTTGAGAACGTCCGCGCAACGCCAGGTTGTCTGGCCATTGGCCTGCGTCAGCTTCTTGTTGTAGATGTAATCCTTGTAGACGAGCTGCGCGTTCTTCTTCTGGCTGCGTATAAATTGGATTTTGCCAGCTGCGTCAGCGAGCGCGTAAAATACAACAGAGGGTGACAAGAATTGAGTTTGTGAGAATCGAATGATTAAATGTCGTGCCTTAGTTATTATATGGTCAATATGGAAACAGTTACAGTTTAGACTTAGGCGCTACGTGAAATAAAACAACAGACATTCAACATTTGGCTTTAAGCATTTTATTAGCAGAGACAACCGCACAAATCACCAAGGCGCTATCTACTTACATATGTACACACAAATGCTGTACACACATATAAAGATGCTACTTCTAAAAGCCACAGACGAGTCCGAAATGGAACCCAACTTACATCAGTCCCACAAACTGACAAACAATTTAATTTTGTCAATACACAAAACACGCACAAATTCACTGAGGCATGCACGAAAAAATGGCCTGTGATTAAGCTTGAAGGATCATTCACAACACAAGTCACAGCACACTTCACTGTTTATTCACAATCAATAATAAAACAGCAATTAATTTGCATATATATATGAAAAAGAAAATAAATTAACGAACCAACAAAAAATATGTATGTAGCTTGGTTTGCCAAAGCATCTTTGACGGCGTTGCCACCTCTTATAAACACAGCGTTGCATTCACGAGCTATAGAAATTATAAAAATCCATTCTGGCAGCACTACACACAATTCAAATAAAACCAATTGCATTTATTTTGCACTCTTTTTTAATGTACATTTTAAGATATAACATAAATCTAGATAGGTATCCTAGGTAGTTAATATTTCAATACGCACCTATTGGCTTTCTTGCACGACTTGTCAACCAATTCGCTACATTTAGCGCACAATCTTTTCCCAGATCATGCAAATTTAAACTGTAGTTACATTCTATGTATTTGTTGCGATATACATACATATCAACCGTTTGTCTGTTTGTATTGACGCATGTATACAGCGTTATTCAACCTCCAAAATCAATGGTGAAAATCGCTAGACAAAACGTACAATTGCACCTTTTTCCGTTGCATTGATATTACTCGTACTACTTATTGGCGGCAAGATTCTTTCGGAAACCACCCCAATCTACATTTGAAATTGTCAACGAACTATGGTGGCAACGCCGATCATGCTAGTGCGCGAAAACTTGACTAAGTGGCATCTCCGGCCGCCATTCCATTTACCATTCGTAAATTCAATTTGTTGCCTACTCCGAAATCGGACGGATCCCAAGCAAACCCAGTTAACAAATATTTTACAAGCATATCTATGCGCCAAATGCTGATGCATTATTAAAATCCAAATCCTTACCGCCCCACAGAACAATATAAGGCTAATAACTGTACACGTCCTAATACACGAAGACTCGGCAATTAATGCCGTTGCTCGAACCCCTGGCAGCAAGCTTTTATGTTGCTCCACAGGGGTTCGTAACAACATCTTCACAAAGAGAAAACAACCACCGGCAGAGTCGTATTGCCAGTTTTCACCAGGTGGCAACGTTGCACCAAATTGGTAAACAAACGCCAGCGATTTCCAGTGCTTCCAGGCTAACTCCTAGCTGAGAATGTTAAATAAAATGCAAAATACTACAAATCTAACAGAAGAGATTACCTGCATTAACAGAGTACCTTTCGTATTTACAGCGCCAAACGAGTCCAGTTGCAGTAGCTCCAGAGGCCGCCAGTCCTTCGATGTTTACGCCAGCCAGGAATCCAGGTGTTTTCATCAGTTTTAAATGCATATGAAACACTCTACTTACCCATCGCGTTAATAATAAATAAACGAATTTAAACGCGGGAGCAGCTGCCTCAGCAAATTGAAATTTACATTCGGTCTGCCGCTCGGCCGAATGCTCTTTTAGCGAAAATAGAGCATTGGCTTTTGTGCTTATCTTATCTATATTAATGGTTGATAAAGCAGCTCTTAAATGTGCACGGGCAAAAAGGTAATGTGAAGCGATGACATCACAGCGTATGATTAAAGCAGATTTAAGCGCTCTTTACAACCGTCGAGGGCCCAAGTCGAATTGCGAGCTGCACGCCGGATCGAAAATGGAAGCCAACCAAATGGGCGAAAATTTAAGAGATAGTTGCCAAAAAAATATTGAACCGAAATCGAAACCGAGCGCAATTCGCAAATCGACTGCCTCCTCTCTATGGACTAGGCTAAGACTATAGGCATTTAGCCGATCCGTGGAACCCGGTTCGGAGGAGAGCCGGGTCGCTGGATCGGCCATAGTCAAATTTCAACCAACCTTGAGCCTCTGTGTTGCTTTGCTCCGCGCCGGTGTCGACAAACGAGGAATCGCTATAGCTTTGCGATTGCTGCTTGACCACGGCCTTTGATGTTGTTGCCGCTGCGACGCTGGTTGTGCTTGTATTGCCCGCGGCCTGGGCGCCGGTGGCGTCTTCATTTTCGGTAAAATAGCTATCATCGTAGCGCATATCGCCGTAGGTATCGTCCTCTACATAGGCCGTATCGCCATCGCCAGCAACTTCGGCGTGCTCTTCGCTATAGTCCGGTTCCGATTTCGTGGGCAATTCCATGGGGAGATCAATATATTCAGCTTCCTCCTGTGCAACCGCCTGTTGCTGCTGCTGCTGTTGTTGGCGCACCTTTGCCTCGCTGGCCACCACAGTCGTCTGCACGGTTATCTGCTGCGGCGGTGCCAGCTGTGTCGTTGTTGTGCCCGCAGCAACAGTTTCCGTTGCCGATTCCAGTGGGTCAATTACGTTGGCGGTGCTGGTCTTCGAGCGCTTGACAGCACCGCTGCCAACCAGGCTGCTGCGCTGTGCCGTGCGCTTGTTTGTCGACACCAGCGTGGCGGTTGTTGTCGTCGCCGTCTGCAGCTGCTGTGTTTGTATATGCTGTTGCTGCTGCTGTGTCGGTTGTTGTTGTACGATGGTGGCTTGTGGTGCGGCTGTTGTCTGGATGACAATCTGTGTGGTTCCCTTCTCATCGCCCAGCACATCGTCAACGGTCTCGATTTTGTATCGCGCAGAGGCGCGTGGCTGTTGACGTTGTACACGCTGGGCGGGGACTTGTTGTTGTTGTTGTTGTACATGAGGTGCGGCTGGTGGGGGCGTGGGCTCCTGTGGCGGCTGCGGCGCAGGATCATTCTGTAAGCGACAATATTGCGTTTAATTATATATTTTTTTGAGTGTGCTTATTCAGCTATTTTTATGTTGCATTTTGCTATATTTATTGGCATCTCAACCCTGGTTATAGCAAATTTATGCCTAGGAAGGTAATTTAGCTATACATATATATATTTTTTTATAGCATTGGTTTCAGCTACTTTTTAAACGACAGTTGGCAACACTGCTTTAGAATGCCGCAGTTTAAATACCCTTTCAGACTTGTAGCAGATAAGCGGAATATTTCAAAACATCTTTTTTAAACAGAAAGTTTTACAGATTGTATGAATGGGAGCTGTATGATATGGAATTTTCATGATTTATTATATGCAATTCTGAGGATAATTATAATGGCCGAGTTTGTTCGGAAATTCTTAAAAAGTTATCCACACAAATATTATCTATTTGGATATGGCAAAAACAAAAACTTCCTAGCATGCTTTTCTGGTCAAGAATATTCATATTACTGGTGAAATCAATAGTCTCCTATTAGGTGTCACATATGCAATTTGAAGATAACAATGCCCTCCGTAAGGGTATAAAAACAACCACCAAAGCGCGCGCACTGCTGTTGCCATAAAAGTGGCAAAGAGAACGGAACAGCTACACTTCACAACAGCGCATACTCGTGCCAGCTCTATCACACGCACACGTTTTGTGCGCAGCGTGCAATTCGAGTAATTTCTCTGTTGCTTGGGTACAGTCAAACCAGCTCTTATACAGACAAATCTGTGGCCCGTGCATGTGTGTGTGTGTACGTGAGCTTTGTATGTATTGCGCGCGCGAAAGGCGCTTGGTTTGTTCTCTTCTCGGTTTTGACAAAGTTACATGTGTGTATGTATGTTTGTATTTTGTACTTACGTCTGTCAGCCCCTTTATTTGCAGCGACTCCGCTGTGCTTATGAAGGCCGGCAGGGCGTCTTGCTTAACGTTAACCTCGCCGCAATACATAAATTGAATCAGGTCCTTCAAAGCCGAATGGCTAACATTGTTTAAAAACACTGCAAAGTAAAACAATTAATGAAACAACGGAGTTCATTTTTTTTTCTTCTTGTTTTTCAATACTTACCGATGGCGTGGGTATTCGATGGCATTTGCGTAAACATTTTGCGAAAAAAGGGCGAACAGACGGACAACACCAAACGGTGCGCCTTCACGATTTGCCCCTCCGCGGCCAGCGATACGTCCACCAGATCTCCACGGCATAGCGACTCGTGGAACCCAGCAGACAGATTTGTGTTGAAATTATTCCAGCACAAACTGAATTGCTCGTCGTCCGCCATCTTGGACGAGCGTAGAAATCAATAGAATTTTCTGTATCTGCTGTGTATGTGTGTGCTGTGGCAGAAATAAAATCGACAATTGCAAAAATAAGTTTGATTTTTTCCAATTATATTTACAGGTAAACCTAATGCGAGCACTGCCATTTGTTTACAAATGTCAAGGCACATCAAAAATGCAGACGCATACAAAAATTAGAAGCAAAAAAAAAAAACTGGGAAATTTTTTCACGCGTGCAGAGAGTCTGCTAAAAACTTTGCACCTTAATATGCTTTAATTGTGGTGTTAAAAACACCTAGCCAAAACAGAGACTGTTTGAAAATGCGCACAACTTACCTATTTGAATTGAATTTCTATAATGAATTACTTATTTGATGCACAAATTTAAAATAATTACTTTTACTGCGCTGATGACGCGCAGTTGCGTCCAACTTTTTCAACGAGTACAACGAAATAAATGTATACTAGCTAGGGATGAGCTAGACTTTTATACTGGGTAGGTATGCTGATACGTAATCGATGTATCGTCGGGTGTATCTGTAACAATTCCGATATGTACGATGTTTTTTGTGCCAACACTGTGTCATATCGCATGAATCGAGTGTGTTGGCAAACGCGTGATTAGAATTCAAAATTTACTTTCAACTGTTAATAGATAGTTGAAAGTCGCTTAAAATGCAAAATGATCTTATTTGTAGGGATTTTAAATTTTACCGATTTGAATAATTTTAAATTGTTTTGATTGTGTAAAACACTCATAATTTGCCAAAATATTTATAATTAAGTGAGTTTTGTCCACTTTTTATTCTTCTAGTTCGAAAATATTGACTTGTTAGGCATATTTTTCAAAACATAAAATTTCATTGAAACTATTGTTTAGTTAACTTGTTTAAGAAATAATTATGTAGTTCTCGAAAATTCAGTCGTAATAGACAAAAGTGAGGTTTCGGGATAGTTTATTTATTTTTCAAAGTTATATAATTCTATACTGTTGGTAATAATAGTCAATATATGTAAATAATGTAATGAAGCCTATCCACACCTTTGTTTGTTTTTATATTTCTATTTATATTTATATCGCCGCACATTGCACGATTTGTTTACTGAGGAAGACATCAGTGTGCCGTCAAGTGTGCGAAAATCTGCACTTGAGCCCCACTTGAAATCGGATCAGCGATTAAAAAGTGCCAATTAACAGGGTATATTATATGGTATGTATGGCATTGGGGTAGAAAAAAAAAAACAACTTAAGGACTTTGTAGTAATAAATACACATACTTAAGCTCAAGAAGCGAAATTAAATCTGCATGAAGAGGCTGCGAACAAACAGAAGCAACAACAAAAACAAGCAAGATAAATGCACGCACACAAACACACACACGCACACACACACACGCAGATGAAGTCAAGCATTTAGCTGCCTTGGCTGCGCTGCGCTGTGATTGGCTGCAGGGCCGCCATTTTCTTAAGCGAACAGCGTAGATACACATAAGTGTGAGTGAGCGCGTGCGTGTGTGTGTGTGTGTGTGCGGGTGTTTAGCCAGCGCCTGAAAAGATTCAATTTTCGTTCAGTACGAAAAACGCGCTGACAAATTGAGGACACGCTCGAGTGCGCAGCGGAACCGCGCATCGTTTTTAGTTTTCAGCCAAATATCCAATACGGATTGCACAAGGGGTGCGCTACACAACCCAACCCCAACACACACCCCCCCTCCACCACCGCAAACACCCCCTCAACCATAATCGTGTTGTCGCCGTCAAGTGTCGTTTGGAGAGAGTCAAGTGCATTTTGGCAAATTGTTGTATTTATTTTAATTTAAAGTGCCTCTCGCGAGCGCACAAGTGATTTGAATTGTGGCCAAGCCAAAACAAACACAAGCACAAGCACAAATATAAATACAAATAAGAAAACAAATAAAACTAAAAGATATGTTGCAACATCAGCAGCATCAGGCCCAATCCGCTGGCTACTATGACTACAATCAAACGCCGAGTCCCAGCAGCCTGACCAATGCGGATGCCCTCAACACGACGCCCTTCTCGGTCAAGGATATACTAAATATGGTCAATCAGACGGAGGCTTACGACGGCGCCTACGGACATCTCGAGAGGTAAGATTTTGTCACGACAAACTAAAGCAAGTTTAACTTGTTGATTTTATAATGTCCAGCAAGGACATTTTTGTTGATTTAAGTCCGTTTTTTCCACATTCCAAAACAGAGTCCAGTTTAAATATTGATTCTTCCTCGATTTTTGATTCTTTTATATAATATTTATATTAATTAATTAATTATATATAATAGTTCTATTCAATATTAAGAGAATGCCCTTTTCCTTTAACTTCCAGCGAATTTCATCCAAAAAAGAAAAAAATCTCGTTCGTTTAATGGTTCAAATTCGCTTTTTCCCAATCTTAAACTCAGGCCTTGGTTTGAACCTTGGTTCTTCTCCTCTTGCTCAATTTCAAGGAAATAAATTCGATTTAAAATTAAAAAAGAAAACATTGCTATTTGTTATGTTTATTTTAACTTTAAGAAAAGTTATTAAAAACTCTGATATTGAGCTTGGACTAAACGAATTATATATAGGATTAAAATGGTATTTTAAACTTTCCCGATAAAATCTATTGACATACAGAATTCATTTTTTCAAATGTCCAAGAAAAGTTATTTTATTTAAAACAGAACAATTTTTAAATTTCGATTAAATTTCTTTGGTTAAGTTTGTTCTCTTGGCAAACGGTTTCAGTTTAAGAATTGGTTCAAAAATATATTGTAAAATTTGGTTTGAACCACGAAACGGATTTGAATTAAGTTATTTCTGAAGATTCCACAAAACACGAGCTTACTCGTGTTAGGTTTGTTTATTAGGTCAATTCTCTAAGCTTACTTTTTTGGTCCAGTATATTAAAATATTGAAAAACAAGGTTCGAACTCCGAAACGGATTGTATCTAAGCGATTTTTAAAGACAAGTTTTTCTTAGGGTTTTCTTTTGGAGAAATACTTGTAAGAAGACTTTAGAAACAAGGCTTCGTGTTAGATTCATTTTGTAGGTCAACTAGTTTAATTTAGGTTTTGGCCCTCTATAGCTAAATCGAAATGAATTGGAATGTAGTAGATTTTTATAGATACCATAAGACACAAGCTTTTCTGAGGGTTTTCTTTTGAACAAATATTTAAATATAAGACTCGATTCGTGCTAGGTTTGTTTTTTTAAGATAGATTAGTTTAGCCTTAGTTTTGGGCTAGTATAGCTAAATATTGGAAAACAGGGCTTTTATTTTTAAAGACTCCATAAAAACACAAGCATTTCCTTCGGGTTTTCTTTTGAACAAATATTTATAGGTTTGATTTTTAGGTCAATTGGTTCAGTTAAGTTTTTTAATATTTGGTTATAAATTACACTTAAAAACAATATAAAATATATTTTTGAAAATACAAATTAATAAAAATTTCCTAAAGCAAAAGCTTTTTTTTAGATATTTCTTTTAAATCTTTGGCAGTTTTTATTTTTTTGAGCTAAAATAGAAAATCCAACATTAGCCAAGTCCACAATTTCGTATAAATCTACCTGTCCAGAGCAACCTTTTCCTTTTTTATTTTTGCTGTTTGGCCTCAAATCTTCGTCTTGGACGGCAATTTGTGTGTGTGTGTGTCTTATTTTATTTATTTTTAATAAGGCTCCATAGGAAATTAATTTCGACCAATTTTCCACGAAATAATAATATTATGCTAAGGGAGAGGTAGGGAGAGGGAGAGAGGTAGGGAGAGGTAGGGAGAGGGAGAGGGAGACTGTAGCTAAGCGAAAGAAATCCTATGAAAACACATGAACAGCATGAATTGCAAATAGGACCAAAGGACAAATCATCGTTATTTATACAAGAGGCAGGAGGACAAGGACAAGGACAAAGATGCAGACGCAGACGCAGGCAGACAAAGTGTTAACAATAAGAAAAACAAAGTCGGAGACGGAGGCAGAGTCGGAGACAGGCTCAGGCAGTCCGGCGGGCAGTCCGGCGGACGGGCGGTCAGTTAGTCCGGCGGGCGGTCGGGACTTGCGTCCTGCGGCTGAGCTTGGGCCTGGCCAACATGTGTGATTCGCATGTGTGTCCCTTCCCTTCCCTTCCCTTTCGCTTCCCTTCCGTTTCGGATATGCGCCCGTGGCGTCCTCTTAATGCTGATGAGCCATGAAATGATGTCACCGAGGGTCCTCTTGATTTTCCGCCCATGATGCAACATGTGCTGGCCAACAGCCAACTAATCGAACGACTTTCTGTCCTTCTCTTCCCTTCTCCTCACGCAGCGCCGCAGCCGCCTCGGCGCTCTACGGCGCCGCCGAGTACCAACAGCAGCCGCTCGAGCAGCACCAGCTTCAGCTCCAGCAGCAGCAGCAGCAGCAACAACTCCAGCAGCAGCAACAACTCCAGCAGCAGCAGCAGCAGCTTGTCGAGGAGGAGGCTTTGGGCGCATCCTCGCTGTCGCCGCTGTTGCCGCCGCCGCCGCATGGTCATCCCCAGCTTTATGCCGGCTATCACCAGGACTACGGCATGCCCGCCCACATGCTGCAGCACGCCCATCCGCACGTCCATCCCCATCCCCATCAGAGCTACCAGCCGGCGTACAATGTGACCGCCTCTCAGTTCTATGCCACGCCCACAGCTGGCGGGTATCAGAGCAGCGCCGGCTACAACTACAACTACAACACGACGGCGGATGTGTATGCCAGCACCACGGCAATGCCGAGCGTGCCGTCATTGCCGGCGAGCATTAAAAGCGAATATATACCCACGCCATATGTGACGCCGTCGCCGACACTCGATCTGAACAGCTCCACGGAGGTGGAGGCACATGCTCCCGCCCACAAGCTGGCCAATGGCAATGGCAATGGCATCGCGCAGCGGCTGCTCGAGACGAGGGGCATCAACGGGGCGACGACGGAGTGCGCCAAGCGAAGTAAGTAAAAATACCCTGTAATCACATAGAATATGCTTAAGTAGAGGGTATTAGGCAGCTGTGCCAGGCAAGAGGGAGAGATAGAATTAGGGCTAAGAGCGAGAGACTTCAAATTTATGCGCCTTGAATTCATTTCAACTTATCGATATTTCCCCTCCGTTTACCAGAAATCGATAAATATTTGATTATCAGTCAAGGTTTTTTGTTAGCTTCTAAACAGCTGAAACTGATTTTAATTTATCGATAGCTTGATACCCAAAATCGATATATTTTAATACCCTTCTATAAAGCTGAAGCTTATTTTATAATAAATATTGATAAATATTGATGATCGGGATAGGTTTTCTCTTCTCTTCTGTTTACTCTATATCTATCAATATTCATGATCTGCGTAGATTATATATTCGCCTCTATACTGCCACTGTTTATTTCCCTATTTCGATAACTTTCACATTTTCCAGAAATCGATAGATGTTTGATGATCACTGTAGGTTTTTTTTATACAGTTCAAGCTACGTTTAATATATCAATAACTCGACTCTATATAGAGACAGTTTTATTTGAATTTAGCGATAACTCGATGCCCGAAATCGCTCAAGCTTATTTAAATTTATCGATAACTCCTCTGTTTACCCGAAATCGATTAACCTTGATGAATACATGTATATCAATTTACCAATAGACTGTTTACCAGATATTGATCAGTCTAAGTTTTGTGTTAAACTCTATGCAGATCAAGTTTATTTAAATTAATCGATAGCTCGATACCCAAAATCGAATTGTTGATCGGCCTAGGTTTTTTGTTTGCTTCTATTTACGCCAAATCGATTAGTAATGATGATCGATAAATCAGCCTAGGTTTTTAGCTCGGCTCTAAACAGCTCTAGTTTCCTTCAATTTATCGATAACTGCCCAATTGCTCGGAAATCGATAAATATCGATAAATCGATAAATATCGATTATCAGCCTAGGTTTTCCTTTGGGCTAAGCCTGATTTTATGAAAACGCATACATATTAATATCATATTTAGCCCCTAACATTATGAAGAAGGGATAGATAGAATAGAAAACGAAGTTATATAAGAAAGAAAGAGAATATAATTAGGAAGAGAAAATATATATTGCAATATAATTTATAGGGTATATGTGGCATAGGGTAACTGCCAGTCGGACACGCTCCCAATTGCTATCTTAACACTTTCTCTCTTTCCCTTAACCCTTGCAGAGGACAGCCAGGTGACCTCCTCCCGCTCCGAGCTGCGCAAAAACAACAGCGGGAACAACAACAACAACAACAACAACAACAATAATAACAACAATTTGTCCGGAAAGCCGCGCATGAAACGCAAGCCGCGTGTCCTGTTCTCCCAGGCGCAGGTCCTCGAGCTGGAATGCCGCTTCCGGCTAAAGAAATATCTAACGGGCGCGGAGCGTGAAATCATTGCCCAGAAACTGAATCTGTCGGCGACACAGGTGAAAATCTGGTTCCAGAATCGTCGCTACAAATCGAAGCGCGGCGACATCGACGGCGACACCTTCGCCAAGCACCTCAAGCTGAAGCCGGAGTCGCTGCCCCAATCGCCCACGTCCACGTCCAGGTCCACGTCCGCGCTGCCACCGCCGCCCCCGCTGCCCAGCCACATGATGTGGCCTCCCCAGCAGCAGCAGGCGCAGGCGCAGCATCATCTCCAGCTGCAGCTCCAGTAGCCCAGGGCAATATAATTCACAATTTCTAACTTATTTAAAATTGTATGTCGATTGAATGTTTTCTTAGCCAATGCAAATGCCTCATAACTCTAGTACCTTGTTGTATATAGTATATATACTATTTTGGACAATAAATCAAGTTTAAGATAAACAAAATTTTTCGTGTGATTAATTTGCGGGTGCTCTAAGGGGATTGCGGGGGGGGGGGAAAGTAGGGAATCTTGGAGATTATTCTCTTGAAAATCATTTGGATATTTCCTTATCGTAATTCTCTAGTATTATGCTTTATCTATACTATTTTGGACAATAAACAAAGTTTAAGCTAAACTAAATTTTATTTGTGATCAATTTGCGGGTGCTCCAAGGGAATTGCGGGGGGGGGGGGACAGTAGGGGATCATGGGAATATTGATCTTGGGATTTCTTTAAAAACCGTTTGGATATTTCCTTAAAATAATTATGAAATAATTATATACAAAATTTCATATAAATTAAAATCAAACTTGGACTGATAAAGTGTTGAATATCCTTGATGTAAAATTATTAAGAAATTCTTGCTTCGGCACGCCGAATTTTAAATACCCTTGAAGGCATTTACCCACATGCTTTGCGAATATGTGAGAATAGTAAAAATAGAATACTTTGCCATATAAAAACTCAATTTTCGAACGATTTTTGCTTTAGAGATATATTATATATTGGTAAGTATATTATTCTATAAAGTTCGATCTTGATAAGATTTGGCTCACATATGAATTGCATGGTTTTTGTATAAAAATATCACACAAATTTCCTTTGATATAAAATGTGGAATCAATCAAGAGCTTAAACCATGGCCAAAATGTACTCACTATTGTAAAAATCGGTCAAGTCTTGGCCAAGTTATGATAATTTGATATTTAGTTGGGGCATTTGCGAGGAACTCGACTTTTCGCATTTTTCGCTACTTTTGGCATGATTTTTGACCAAAATTTATTATAGAAAATAGATTTTAAATAGATAAACAACAAAATTCCAGAGCAAGTTTAGTTGGTTCCCTCGCAAATACAAGTCCAAAATTAGCCTAAAATTGACATCCTCCGAATATTTTTTAGTTTTCTACCTTTTTATACCCTCTCGATTAAGAATAAAGCTGTAAGATTACAGGCCCAAAAATTAGCTACTTTTCTAAAATTAATAAGGGATAAAAATGATTATAATTATAAGACTTTTTGAAGACATATTCAAACATATATTAAAGTATTTTCAAATTGAATAAAAAATAAAATAAAATTTGTTTGAAGCTAAGAATTATATAATATTTATACGCTCACAATTGAGTGTGAATAAAATTGTAAGATTCCAGGTCAAAAAAGTAGGTTTTTTTTTTGTAAAATGAGTGAGAGGAAAAAAGTACATGATATTTTTTAGAGGCATCATTTAACTGGAGGATAAACCAGAAACAAAGTACCTAAAGTTTTTGGCAAAGTTGTGGTGTGAATTTAAAGTTACGCTCCAATTTTTATGTCCAAATATCAATTGTGAAATTGAATTAAATGTTTTTTATGTTTTAATTGAATGTTCCAAAAGTTTGATTTCGCTTTTAAAAGACTCCATTCTAGAAAAAAGAACTGGGGGAGAAATTAATAAAAAATATAAAATATTCTATATAATATATTATAAATATATATATTATATTATATTAGATTATATTATATTATATTATCTTATAAATTTCTGTTATCAAATTAAAAATGTTTTAAAAAACGAGCACATATTTATCGTCAGCTTTTCGCTTTGATTTGAAAGGATCAATTTGAGAGGATCAATTGGTATTTGTGCTGGATTCCCTTTCAATTGTGGAGGACTTCGATATATCATTCCCTACTTTGCTTTCCCTTTTCGATTTGTCGACTATGTGTATATATATATATATATATGTATGTATGGGATTATTTTGAGCATCGGAGTACTCGGTTAGTCTGGGACGGATCCGCGGATCCACGGATCCATTAGGCACCGCATCTGCGGTATAATTGTTGTCGATCGGCGCATAAATCAATTTTTATCAAAACGAAACGATCAGTTTTATGAATAAATGTGGAAAACACCAAGAATATTTCCGTTTTAATTCAACACACAAAACGTAAAACTGTTTTCCTTTTGCTTTTCGCATGCCAGCGAAGGGTTGTGGAGCGGAGGGAGGGGAGAGGAAGGGAGGGGGAGAGGAAGGGGAGACGGGAGAGGAAGGGGAGGGGAGAGGAGACGGGGGCATTGGCGGCATCGCAGACATTACAAAGGTTGCTTTTATGAAACGTTTAAGTGGCAATGCGGTGCAACTGTAAAATGTTTTCCAACAAAGATACAGATACAAATACAAATGCAGATGCAGATACAGATACAAATGCAGATACAGATACAAATGCAGCCGAGAACTCGAACTGGAACTCGACATTTATGACAGGCCGGGCTAATATTTCATGGCGTGTGGGGGCCAAAGTTGCCTCTGCCCCTGCTGCCCCTTCTGGTCTCTTTTGGTGGTGCAGTGGTTGCCCCGCCGGAGTGGCATATCAATTACTGCACAAACACATGCCACAGAGGCCGCAACCGGAACGGGAAGGGGAAAGGGAACGGGAACGGAGCAAGTGCAGCTGATCACACTTTTTATTTTCTTCTCTTATATTTTTTGTTTGACGTGCAGCATTTTTGACAGCCTGAACTTTTGGCTTGGATTGGGGGCGTTCTTGTCTTGGGTTAAATGTCAATCAGAGGCCATCAGAGGCGCGGGCTTAGATAAAATACATATATATGACAGGCTGCCACTGGAAGGGTATTTGGGCAATTACGAGTTCCTCCCCCCACATAGGAGAGTTCCATGCAATAGAAATTAAATATAAAATAAACATACATATATCAAAATAAATATAAATATATAGTATAATTGCAATTTTGATACCCTGTACCCATTGCAAATGGCTAAAGAGGGTATTATGTATTTGTACAAATGTATCTAACAGGCAGAAGGAAGCATCTCCGACCCCATAAAGTATATATATTCTTGATCAGCATCAATAGCCGAGTCGATCTAACTATGTCCGTCTGTCCGTCTGTCCGTATGTATGATCGCAAGGATCTCAGAACCTATAAGAGCTAGAGACTTGAAATTTTTAGCTGTAGGTCCTCCTAGTCCCCGCACAGATCGAGTTTGTTTCCAATATTCGATAACTTACCGATAATCAATAAACATCGATATCGAAATCCGTGGTTTTGAGCAATTTTGGTAAATAATACGAGCTAGAGTCACCAAACTTCACATGTTGCTTCTAGAATAGTATATATATAACAAGTATCTTTCGTTTTATATCTATCGCCAGTTGAAAGAAGAGGGTTAAGGGTATCCCCTAGTCGGGAGCGCCCGACTAGAACCTCTTACTTGTTTTTTTTTTCTTTTTAGCGGAAGGTGTTTATTGATTTAATACTATCCCTTTTGGACCACTATTCAATTAATTAATTTAATTAATTAATTCAATTTAATTAATTCCAATATGCGAGTCACTTTATCGGATGGATAAAACACAATATCCATGGGATAGCTTGACGGACAGGCTTTAAATTTTTACCCAGCGAGTCGGGAATTTCCCATCATTATCTCTTTATCCTTCCTACTTAAAACTCTATATATCTAGTTTACATTTCTTTACTTTATTATTAACTTCTTCTTATCTTTTTTCACATTTTTTTTTAATTTTTAAATAATATAGTAAATTACTTTATTAACTACTCCTTTCTTTCATTTCTTAAATAATAATGTAAACTAAGACAATTTCTAATTTTTACTTAAGCACACTATTTTCTCTGCTAACACCTTCTTCCTTCTTAGCTGTAGGCTCTAATAAAATCTGACAAATTTAGTTGTGAAAAGGGGCAAAAAGCTGGCCGGAGGGGCAAATAAAATACCTACTCGCTTTAAGTATTTAATTTTCATCTGATGTATTAAGCTATTGGGAAGATACTTGTTATAGTCGATCATTAATAAATAAATAAATAAAGTAAATAATGCCCATCCATTTATCCTACCACCTGTTTTACGTCCGACTATTAATAAATAATGTCCATCTTACTATCCTTTCGCCTGTTTAATGTCCATCTTAACGCTCGCCCGCTCGATCTCAGAGACTACAAGAGCTAGAGACTCCAAATTTTGAACCTAACTTCGTCTATTAACCACGCAGCTCAAATTTACTTCAGTTTAACGATAACTTTCCCCGATTACCAGAACGCGATAAAAATCGATATCTTCTTCCCGTTTGTTGACAATATCTACTTATAGAAGCTAGAGATACGAAATTTGATATTTAGGTTTTCGTACTGTCTACACAGCTTCAGAATATTTCAGTTTTCGAATACATTCCTCTCTTCTCCCCCAAAATGATAAAAACTGCATGCTTGAAAGTATCGTAATGGGCTGTAGTATTTACACATATTTTGCTGTCATATTTATGCCCTGTAAATTTAATCAATTTCGATCAATAGACACCCAAGTTATTCAGGAACATATTTCCTATATTATGGTCCATCTCGGCCCTGGACTTTGGGCATTTCTCAGGCCAGCTCTCCCGCCTAAAACACTCGAAATTCTTAGCCCTAAAATGCACACATGGACAAGAAGCGACGGCAAATGCCATTTTCCAATTTTCCCCGCTTTATAGAGACCGAAAGAGAGCAGAGAGTCGGGCGAGGCGTGCTCTGCACAGTGGCAAACAAAACGCCCCAAAGGACATGCTGTGTCCCGTTCCAATTGAAGTGCCTTTAAATGTTGCCTAATGGACCACACTGACCAGAAAGAATGAAAGAAAAAAGAGGCAACAGGATTTAGCAAATGGATCGAAACAGAAATAACGCTGAATACATTTGGGTTTCGTCTTACAAATCGGTCGGCGGCAATGTTGCGGCGACGTGTGCTCCGGAGTCTGGAGTCTAGACCGAGTCGGGCCCGGGGAAAATTGTCAAGTGGAAAATTTG